TCATAACCGGAAGTTGTCGTTTTTTGTTTCCTATGGGACTGATATATTTCGAAACTGCAAATAAGATGCTATAATGTGAGGCAAAAAAAATTTCATAAAAGAAAAGTTGAAATTTTCGATTTCTTTGATCACTTCCTGTGACGACCGGAAGTGACGACGGACGATCTTAACCCGATTGGTTTTGCCTACTTATCAAGATCTATTACTCATATAAGTTTGGTGTCTTAATCTCTTACCGTTTCTGAGATATGACTCGGACAAAATTTTTTTGAAAAAAACGGAAATCGGACATTTCTGACGACCGGAAGTGAATTTTGAAAAACTGAAAACTGCATTTGAAAGATATTTTGATTGTCTATCATCTCTGAAAATTTCATGACAATCCGTCCAGTCATCTCTGAGAAATCGTCAAAAACAAAAGGGGAAAAAAATAATAATAATAATAATAATAATAAAAAGAAACAGTAGAATCACTATAAGGTCTTCCGTCTGAAACGGAAGACCTTAATAATAAGAAACAATAGAATCACTATAAGGTCTTCCGTGAAGACGGAAGACCTTAATAAGAAACAGAGTAAAAACAATATGTTCCCCAACTTCGTTTGGGGAACATAATAATAAGAAACAGAGTAAAAACAATATGTTCCCCAACTTCGTTTGGGGAACATAATAAATTATTGTTAAGTTTAAAGTGTGTGATTGATCTTTGCTGGCATTTAGGGTTACTCTGACCCATAACAGTGCGCAATGGAAATATCGACTAAATTTTGTATTTAAAAATGTATTTGTAATCGGGATGACTATTATTTTTAGTACACTATTTATATTGGATAATTGTAATTATGATTAATAACTCCATATCGAGGACGATTATATTTTATATTTAAACTAGTCACGTGATGTGGCAGTCACCCGATTTTAGCCCATTGACTTGAAGTATTGATGTTACATATAAATATCACTAGTGCAAGGGCATAACCAAGTTAAATTTCCAAGTTTATTATATAAATATTTTCAACACTCATTGCAGTTTCGAAAAAGTGCTGCAATCATGTCTAAATTCTGCGATTTCATTGTTAAAATTATACTTGTCTGACCGAATGCTATATTTTTTGCTGGTCTTTGGCATGAAATATTGATATAATTAAATTGTTCTTAATATTTCATCAGGATCGCAGCACTTTTCAGATTCCTTACAATGAAATGTAAAAGGTTACTTTGATCAATAGAGTGTATGCCCTTGCACTAGATCGATTTATTATAACCCCCTACATTACCCTCCGATGTACTTGCATACAAATATACGGCAATATCCATTAAATACGTACGTAATGTACAGAAAATATATTAATAAAATAGTGAAGAAGACATTAAATTCAAGTTATTGGCCCATAGAATATCTGTAAATAATATTTTATTTAATTAGAGAATACATATTTTGTTGAAAAAATATTACTTGATCTGTCTTTTACGGCATACAAACTACGTCAGGTTGTAAGAAATGACGTCATATTGACAAGTGTACTGCGATCAGTGACTTGTTTATAACTTGTTATGTGGGATTTAACTAACGACAAAACAACACGCTGTAGTAAGTTTTTATGTAGTTTGACGATTTCTTGCTAGTTAAATTAGCAGATAAAATCATTTTGTGGTATTTTAAAGAAATGCTGTATGACATATATTGTGAATGATGTCAGAGTCAAGTTTTCCCGTACAAATTAGACTCCGCCTCTTTTTTGTAACCTTAACTGTGCTGCGTATATAATTACCGTCCGAAAAATCTACAAAGGATAGCTGAATTCCTTTTGATCATTAGAAATCGCTAGATTTTCAACAAACACAACTAAATCATCCTAGAGTTTATCTGGAAAAATCAGTGGAACCCTCCCCTCAATGTCAAACTGTAGGAGTGGGAAATACATGTAATGAGACATTATGTAACTACTGTCAGCAAGGGACAGGGACTTTCGTTAAGCCCCCCTCTCATCCTAATTTCATACCTAACTTACATGTAATGAAGAAAATAGACCGGTGAGACAGCTTTTCCAGCAGCAGAATCTAGCGGAAATAGAGGATGAAATAGTCTCCACATCGAAAAACATTCAATAAAAGAACTTTTCTTAAGGAGTGTGAACTCGCTGTGAATTCGTTTGAATGGAGGATCAACAGTATTTAACGTTGTGACTTTTTAATTCTAGGGTACCTTAAAGTTATTGCATAATATGTTTAAGTGCTTCAATGAAATAAATTAAAAAAAATGTTTTGTTACTTTTTTATCCTGTATACTTATTAAGTTATACTGTTAAAATAATTCATTATAAGAGCTGTGTAAAGCAAAAACTTGCCTGGGGAATTTTGACAAGTGTATAAATATTTTAAAAGAGGTGTTTTAAATAAATGTCATTGTACGTTCTAATTCTACATACGCTAAAAATTGTTGACAAAAAACATGATAGCAGAAAAAAGTTATTTTGTGATATTTGACATTTTCTGCATACCATATTGACATCAACGTATTTCGTTTTCCTTTAAGCATTTACAGCATGAGATTACATACAATATCATCGCACAGTGGAGCATTCCCTCACGGTAGGAAATATTTTGACCATATGCATGAGTTATATATAAATGGCACCGAACATAGATCGGTGATAATAATGTCTCCATACTTGTTAAAATGTGCAAAGAGGAACGTCATAGGCCCGTAGGAAACAGTTTCAGTGGGAGGGGCGGATGTGGCACAAGGAAGAATATGGAAATGAGGAACAGCATTTAATTTCAAATTAAGGTCAATAAAGCAATACAAAATAAGAACCGAGCAAACACGGACCCCCCAAACATTAGAAGTGGGATCAGATGCCATGGAGGAGTGAGAAATCCCCTGCCGACCGGTCACACCTGCCTTGTGCTCCTTGTCATGATCAGGAAATAACAAAAAAAATCCGTTGTCAATTCAGCCTATAAATAATGGACTAACAATTGGTATGAAAACCATCAATAAGCATTTGACTCAATGATAAATTGTATTTGCTGTCAAGGTCATTGTACCGACCATAGAACTTCAAAATCATGCAATTGATTGGTGAAGGGACTATCAACTATCAAAAAAGGAAAATCCAAAAACGCCATCAAAGATGTTTTTGTTCAGAGGGCACATGGATAAAGTAGCTATGTTTTCTAAAGTGTTCTATTTATCGGCCAAATCATTGTAGGGCTACTTCCCCCGTGTTCGCCCTAATTTTACGGTCATGTGTTAAACAAGAGGACCAGGGGTCACAGCACTCTCCTGAGCACATCTGGCTTGAATTTAACCCCCCCCCCCCCGCAGGCTTTCATCAATTTGAACAAAATAGAATCTACACCTTAAACATCACTAATCATTGCTTTGAATTACTTGAAAAGCTTTTAAAAGGTTTCCCTATATATCCCTATATAAAACTTGAGTCATCCATTTTGGCCCCACCCTAGCCTCGGGGGTCATAATTTGTACAAACTTGAATCTATACTACCTGAGGATGATTCCACATGAGTTCCATCTTTCCTGGCCCAGTGGTTCTTAAGAAGAAGATTTTTTAAAAAAGATTGTTCTTATAAAAAACTTGGGTCAGCCATTTTGGCCCCATCCTAGCTGCAGGGGACATGATTTGGAAAACGTGAATCTACACTACCTGAGGATGATTCCACATGAGTTTCATTTTCCTGGCACAGTGGTTCTTGAGAAGGAGATTTTTAAAGATTTTTCCTATATATTCCTATGTAAGTCGAAAAGAAGTAGTCGAAAATGTTAAAAGTATACAGACAGATGGACAACTAGACGGACAACTAGACAGACTGATGGACAGACTGACGCCAGACAAAATGTAATCAGAAAAGCTCATTTGAGCACCAAGAGTAACCAGTATTAACTTTATAAAGTTAAATTTTTGGTAAATAAATAAAGATCTATAGCAACACTTAAATGTAATATCTTTTTAACAATAAAATAAGGTGGAGATTATCTTTAGGTGGATTCTTTTAACAAAAATTAAGATCCATGTCATCTTGGGGGGTTGGAGATTAGCATGCATACCAGATTAAGTTTTCTCTAAATTTCAGTAATTTTCTACCGGACTATATATACGTCAAATCTGAGAATTCACAAGGAAGCAAACCGTTATTTTTTCGGAAGATGCAGACTGGGGTTGGAAGGGTGGTTGTCAGCCGAAAAATAATTTGACAATAAAATTTGAAATTTAAAAATCAAAAATAAAGAAGAAAGTTATTCAATCTTTAAATTACTACAAGCATTGTTGAATATAATGAAATGTTTAAAAAAAAAAGAGAAGGTCAGCATCTTAATGTCAAGATCTAGTAAATGTCTTTTTTGGTGCTAGATCCATTATGACGTCAAAATCACTTTCAACTTTCTTTTTCCAGTATTTTACGGCTCAAATAGAATTATGCAAAAAATTAAGTATTTTCAGGGACTTCCATTTGAAATTACAAATTGTATACGAAAAATAATCCCGATACCTATATTAAAATTGACATTATTCCAAAGAAGAGGCCAAGAACATACAGATTGTCGTTTTCTGAGAAACTGTACGCTATCTGGATGCATTCTCTTTGTCTGATATGGAAAAAAAGTCTCATATTTATGACTGGATTTCTTAACTTTTCATCGAAAATGACAGTTTAATATATGCTTTTTCATCTTTTTTCCCACAAATTATGACAAGAAACACCGTTTTTGACCAAGCTAAACATATAAAGCATCATTTGAGGAATTTATTTCTCAAATTTGAGAAATCTGTAGGCACCTTTCATTTACTAGATCTTGACCTTAAAAGAGATTTTTGAAACACAATTAACAAATTAACTGCCTTTCTTGGTAAATCTTGTCTGCACATTATTGTATGCGCAAACTGTGATAAGTGTTGTTAGATACACAAACAGTGGAATGAGTGTGTATATGTGTAACTGTATCTCTATATATATTCTTGCATAGTAAACAATTGTCATATAAATAGAATGTTATTATTTTCACCTTTTAGTGATTTCGTTTGATCACATATATCGAATATTTCCTCATGCACCTCCAATCCCTCAGTAGATTTTACTTCCTTAACCTCGTCTTCACTACATCCGAGCAGACGTTTAAGTAGCGTGGTTTTCCCGGCCCCAGCACATCCTACAATCATCCCCCGGGCGTGGTGGACTGTCTGTGTTCCTCTCTTAGCGTACTCCACATACCGCTCTCTGGCCTCCTGGTCCCACTCTAGTACTTCTCTAGGTACTCCCACTGTATCATAAAATAATCAGCAATATCATATAGAAAGAAACAGAAGACAAATAATTTATTTTTTTTCTTTTCACCTTCATTGGAGACTTTTGTATTTATGGATACATTTTCCACTAAAATCTATTTAGCATTGCTTGAATTAAAGGCTTTGCTAATACTTTTTCAAACAGTTAAATATTTTGCCAAGTCACATAATTAAAAAAAAGTTCAATATTTGTTTTTTTTTCTTTTTTAATTCAAAGAAATGTGTGGTGTTTTTGCAATATCCATGAACCCTAGGATTTAGCTCAATTTATCTACATTTAAGTACCTAAATTCACACCTCCCCCCTACAATTTGGAAAATCACAAAACTTGTATTTATGTGTATCCAAATTTTCATATTGCAAACGTTGTTGTGTCATATTCAACAAAGCATTTTAACAATTTACACAATTTGAATGACGTGATTATTATGCACCCGAATTGCTTAATCCGGGGCGTACATTGTTTTGTCCTGTCTGTCTGTTTGTTTGTTTGTCTACAAACTTTAACCTTCGGCATAACTTTTGAACCATTGAAGATAGAGACTTCATATTTTGTTTTCCTACTCCACTAATTTAGCTCTTTTAAATGACACCATGGGAACTTGACTGTGACCTATATGCAAAAAATACCTATTATCTGCAAACTTTAACCTTCACCATCACTTCTGAACCATGCAAGAAAGAAACTTCATATTAAGTATGCTAATTAAGCTCTTTCAAGTGATACCACGGTTAATGACCTTGTGACATTGACTGTGACCTATATGCAAAAAATAGCTTTTTATCTGCAAACCTTAACCTTTGCCATACATTTTGAACCATAAAAGATAGAACCTTCATATTTAATAAGCATACTCCACTATTAAAGCTCTTTCAAATGATACCAAGCTTAATGACCTTGTAAATAACCTTGACCGTGACCTGTATGCGACAATTATTTTTTTCCTGCCTTTGCTCATGACTTTAGAACCATTGAAGATTGAAACTGCATATTTAGTATGCATACTTCACTAATCAAGCATTTTCAAATGACACCAAGGAGCTTGACTGTGACCTATATGCAAAAAATACCTTTTATCTGCAAACTTTAACCTTCACCATAACTTTTGAACCATGAAAGATAGAAACTTCATATCAAGTATGCATATTCCACTTATTAAGTTCTTTTAAATGATACCAAAGTTAATGACTTTGTGACATTGACTGTGACCTATATACAAAAATAGTTCAACCACAAGATATAGAGACTTAAGCTTTATATTTAGTATCCATACTTTACCAATCAAGTTCTTTCAAATGACTCCAAGTTCAATGGCTTTGTGACCTTGACTGTGACGTAAATGCTAAAAAATCTTTTGAAAAATGTTGTTGCCGCCGGGCGCATAGTGTTTCACAAACACATCTAGTGTTTCTATTGAAAGAAATATGCAATAATACCACTGTATTTCTTCTGTGTAAGAGATATGAAATTTCTTTCTAATATGTATATCTAAAACATATATCAATCTATAAATCTAGAATATGCTCTAAGCTGAAGTAATAAACACATTAATATCTTATATGATTACTTTTAAAATTATATTTTACTTTTGATTAAAACCTCCAAAGCCTTCCAACTTCGAGGAAAAAATATATACTAACAAGAAAAGACTGTGAGCATTATAAATACTGGTTACAGTTTGGCTAAACTGGCTAAATTGTCAAAGCAAAGATTCGTTTTATTAAATATATAGATTATTTGTGATATTATTTACAGGACACTTGCTCTGAAAGCGTACTATATGCTATATCGCGATTATCGCCCTTGCGTCGTTCCATATAACCATGTCAATTTGCGCTCTTTTTTGGGTCGACTTTAGCAAGATGAGCTCGAAAAAAATGAATTGTATTGATTAAACGCAAGTTGACGACTTAGAAGCGCCATTACATGTTCTTAGACAAAAAATCAGCATGCGTTACCTGGGGTTTTCAAAAGATATCAAATTATTTAAAAAATTTCATTATTCAAAGAAAAATGTATAAAAATTACAAAATAAAAACCAGATTTTTGTTCATCAATTTTTTCTTAGAAGAGGCGAAAAAATCCATACATAGACATTTAAAGTATTGCACACAGATCCATCATTTAGTGGAACTCTTCAACTCCAGAGAAGAACCCAGTAAAGTCCAAACTACGTTGCGTATGACCTCAACGTTACATAACATACTTTGCTCCGTGGTGAAATATAAACATTTAGCTTTTGAAAATCATTTGTTCTCTATATAATCAAACAGAAAAAATTTCAACCATCGACAAAAGTAATATTTTTTTCATTATGAAATTCAAAACCTCTTTATGTTTTATCTTGTAACAAGAGGCCCAGGGGCCACAGCGCTGACCTGAGCACATCGGCTAGATAAAAAGCACATATCAGATCAGAAATGAAAGTTTACTGGGGGGGGGGCTGAATTTTAACCCCCCAAGGGGTCATGATTTGAACAAACTAGAATCTACACTACCTGAGGATGATTCCATTTAAATAGAAAAATATCACTAATCATGGCTTTGAAGTAATTGAAAAGAAGATTTTAAAAGGCTTCCCTATATATCCCTATGTAAAAGTTTGGTCGGCCATTTTGGCCCCACCCTAGCCCCAGGGGTCAAGATTTCAACAAATTTGAATCTACACTACCTGAGGATGATTCCACATGAGTTTCATCTTTCCTGGCCCAGTTGTTCTTGAGAAGAAGATTTTTAAAGATTTTTCCTATATATTCCTATGTAAAACTTTGGTCGGCCATTTTGGCCCCACCCTAGCCCCAGGGGTCAAGATTTCAACAAACTTGAATCTACACTACCTGAGGATGATTCCATATGAGTTTCATCTTTCCCGGCCCAGTTGTTCTTGAGAAGAAGATTTTTTTTAAAATGCCATTAATTTTCTCTAATTCATAATTATCTCCCCTTGGAAAAGGGCGAAGTCCTTCATTTGAACAAACTTGAATCCCCTTCACCCAAGGATACTTTGTAGCAAGTTTGGTTGAAATTAGCCCAGTGGTTCTTGCGAAGATGAAATGTGAAAAGTTAACAACGACAACGACAAAGCCGACGACAACGACAACGACAAAAACGACAGACAACGGACAAATTTTGATCAGAAAAGCTCACTTGAGCCTTCGGCTCAGGTGAGCTTAAAATAATAATTTGATGAGGAACTTTTCATTGTATCTTTTGAATGACCCTCATACATGTAAATTCCTTTCAAGTTCTTTTGATTTTCTTTTTTGATAAAATTGGGATTTAGTCGTGTTTCTTTCTTTTCACCTTGATGATTTTAATAACTAGTACATTGTAACTACTAACTAATCATTTATGTGTGTAACAGTTTAACATTTAATTAATTTGAAAGGTTTATTTAAACAAATATTTTAAACATCCTCCTGGGCTTCTTAATTACTTTTTTACACTCCTTGGAAATTGGATCAAAAATAGAATGATTAAGACATCTAAACAATTTGATTTATACTTGTATGTTACGGTCTCGGTTTTGTGCCAGGATACACTGTACACTATTATTAGCTGCTAAGCATCTCAAAAATAGTTACAATCAAAATAGTAATTAAAACGATATTTTCATATCTCCTTGCAATTGTCATTAACCAGTAAACCATATAATAAGTGACAGATCATGGAGACGTTATACTTACAACGTTTACAGATCCTGTCCTGAATCAACCTGTCAGACACGGTACAGTGTGTGATGATGTCCAGCTGTAGTTTGTCTATGAAGAGGTCGTACATCTTCTCCGGTTTGTCCGGTACATACAGACATCTCTCTCCCTTCCTCCTATTAATATAACCAAAGGACCGACAGTATTCTGAGATCACGTCACGTGATGCCGTGGTCAAGAAAAACTCCAGATCACTGTTCTCCACCAGACACTCCGTAACAAAGGCGTACATGACGTCATGTCGGATGTCGTCTGATATAAAGGTTATCACACCATCACGTGTTTCTGTGATTCCATCAGGGGGATCTACCGAGCCATCATCAGTAATATCAGGAAAATACCTCTTTCTTATTTTGTCCTTTGTGATTTTTTGTGATTGTTCAATGACACTAATCCGATATTTATCAGATATAACTAAACAATAAAGTTGACATCTGACTTCCGGCTCATAGCTATGGACTTTACCTGAAATGACAAACAAATAAATAATGAATCACCAAAAAAAATTATTAATAAAAAAAAATAAATGAATTGTTTACATTTAGTCTAACTACATGGCATGCACTCTAACCTTTTTTCTTTAAAATGTATGTACACATATGTATTCATTCCTATTGAAGAGATGTTTAAGAATGTGAACCCTCCCACCCCCACCCCCACCACATAATTTTTCAATTGCTACTTTTAACCATCGCTGAATAAATGCGATTAAAAAGATGAGGGGATTTATTACAAATTTAAGAATAATCCTGAAATACGAATTCAAATCTGTAAAAAATGATAGTTTTATTCTTAATAATAGCTATAAATTGAAATAACGTTTTGCTTTCGTCGCCCGCGAGACACAGTGATTCGAGCATCTGCTTTAGAGTCCAGGAGTAGGGAGTTCATTATTTAATAGCGACACCACATTATTTTCTTATTTGTCTGACATCTGATGACAAAAGCATGTGAGGGCAAACAATTTAGCAATAATATTTTTACTTTTTTGAAGGAAATATTGTTAGGTGGAACTTGAACAAAATTGAACGGAAGTATATTCCCCCTACCTTATTTTTCTTTTTTTTTTTAGAGCTACATATCGCAGAATGACGAAGAGTACGAAAATGGAGAGGAAATAAAAGAAAAAAAATATCAATAAGACATTTTATTATATGACTGAAAAATTTCCAACTCTCTGATTGGCTGAGATCCAACTATGTCATAAAATTACTACGTTGTATTGACCTGCACGTTACGTTCCAGGTCAATACAAGGATTTATTTCCTATACATTGAACTAAAAATAGATCGGGAAACTCCAAATCTTTCAAAATTGTTTTGGAAAGCTTTTTAAATGATTATGATTTTCTTTTTCATGTGAACAATACATAAGCGAATATATATTTTCGTGTGAGGATGGTAAGAGGGGATGCAGGGACCCCCTTCATCACTTTTACTGAACAACAATACACATGTTTTTACTTTTTAGCAGTCATTTTCCCTATAATACTCCCTCCTTTCAAAATCTATTGTAAAAAAAAAAGACTGACATAGTATAACTTTTTCATGGCAACTGATAAAAATTATTTCATATTGATACACCTGGTAAGGTTTATTTACATTTTGATTCTGCTTCTCTCTTGTATTTTGCGAGGACTTAATTAGGCCTATCAATAAATGCAATCAAGTAATTCGCGGTATCATTTTATCAGTGAATCATATGATAAAACAATTATTGCTGTTTTTTCGGCCAATACAATGATTTAGCCATCTTCGAAGTACAAAATTCACCTCGCCCTTCGGGCTCGGTGAATATTGTATTCCTCAGATGGCTAAATCGTTGTATTGACCTCAAAGAACAGCAATTAATTGTATAGTAATTAAGCGATGTTGCATGGGGAGCATAAATACATAATGATGTTTAGCAGGATTCGCAGAAACTAGAAACTGCAGGTAAAACCGAAGGGGGGGGGGGATTAATTGTAACATTTCATATATTGAATTTAAACTTTAACGGAGCTGCTAACCCCCCCCCCCCCCCCCCCCCTCGTCCTACACCGTCTACGGAATTTATTTTCCCATTTACTGTCATATATGTATTTTTTTCAGCTTATAAAGGAATTTCTGTATTTTTGTGCGAAAGCAATTCAAAAATCAACTTCTTGGACAACAAATTCCTGTCTTGGTCAATTGAAAAATGAAATACCCAAATCAATAGATTCTTGTTTCTGCCCCCCCCCCCCCCACCACAAAACCCTCCTCCCTGCACACAGAGACACATATGAAGACATACATCCGGTCCAGACAAAGAAACACACTTTTGGATTTAGGAAGGAGGGCAGCCAGAAAGAAACAAAAATAACTAACCTAAAAATAGAAAAAAAATATTGATTTATTCTATATTTCTATATATTAACGATGAATAATGTTTGCAAACGTTCAAAATACTGTAATGATGAGTTTGTTGATTAAAACGTCTCACTTCCAATATTTCACTGAAACATTGCTACATTGACGACATTCTTCGCCGCGGAGAGCCTCAATTTCACCTTGGCACTGCATGAAGGCCATTGAGCGAGGGATCAATTTCGTGCCAGCAACTTCCACAACAAGGGACCTCGTTTTAATCGGTCTAATTTAAGAACACGTGTTCACGTCCCTCAGTGGGATTAGATCCCGTGACATATATAAGGATCGGACGAAAACTATTCATTTCATTCCCACATCCATTCAAATTTTTATATATGTGCAGTACCTGGATTTTCATCGTCTTTAGTCATTTCGGTCAGAAGTCGGTATTTTTGCTGTGATTTTGCAATGAAGCTGTATTTTTTAAATAGTTCAAATGCTCCTTGTTTAAATTAAGTTGAACTTTGACCAATATTTTGCACTAAAACAATTAAAACGATTGTTTTAAGAGGCAGTCCACCGAAAAACCAGGCAGTATTGTATTGATACATGTAGGCGGCACATCGAATGTGACGAATATGTGATATTTTATTGAAAACAATATCAATGTAGTCCAAATTGAATAATGTAATCGAAGATTTGTTTGAAAATTACTTATTTAGTAAACTACCCTTTTCTCTCGTGTAATTGAGTTTTCCTATATAAACCATTCAATTTAGGTCAGAAACAAAGAACTGTAACTTCCAATACATTTTTAACAGGACTATAATTCACGCTGAATTAAATAAAGAAATATTTCATCTTTTTGTTTCAAAAATAAAATCGGTGGGAAAAACACTTGTGAATTAGTTTTCTGGCATAATATATGATATTTTATGATATTTTGCAGTGCAAGAGTTACCTCCCGTGGCATCGGTAAATCTGTTAAACGCCTTACTATATGAATCCTGGTTAAAATTCAAAGTACTCAGAAGTACAGAGAGCCGGGCTCATTTACAGACTAGAATGGATTTCTTACATGAATCACGTTTATATTATGATGAAAAAAAAAATATTTTAAAACTATCAATATAAATGATAAGACACTGAC